GCCTGAGGGTTACCTCCTGCATTTGACTATATATTGATCTTATATCATTAATTTTGTTACGTTTGGATAATAGAGAATAAGAGGAATCCATTGATACGAAAATTGATGTTTCTTTCTTTGTTTTTTTCTTTCCTTTTCCTTTTCATTTTTTTTTTTTTTTTTTAATGTTTTGCATGAAATTCTTGACTTGCACTGACAGTATATCATTTTTCTAATGTAATTAGATGCGAGTGAATGAATGGGTAACAGACACTCATGGGATAATATTGAATTTAATCACATTGGTATTATTTAATTAATTCTCTTTAATTTCTTAGAATTATTGATGTGAATTCTTGCTGCACAATCAACTTGCTTACTCATTCTTGATGTTACACCATTACTGCTTCCTCATATCAGTATTATACAGACCCAAAGCAAATAAGAAATTACAAATAATAGATTATTAAAGACCATACTAGTATACTGATATAGGTACATTATCTCACCTAATTTATGCTAATATTCATGTAATGATGACACTCAATATATGTCATAATTGTTATTTCATGTCGTAGCAGTGACATGATGTGATCATTCTACTACTGTTTTTTGTGTATTATAACTGTTACTTTAATTTACAGATACTTGAATTGCGATAGTAAAGAGAAGAAAGAAAGAAGAAAAGGGAAGATGAAGATTTCCAAGAAAAAGGAAAAGGCAAATGCTGCGGGTACAGCGAAGCCCCAGAAGACATTGTTTGATTTCTTCCAGAAGCCGGGCACTTCCAGCACCCAGGTGGAGAAGGTGTTGTGCCCAGCATGTAACACACAGGTCGTCAAGAGCAAGATCAATTGGCATCTTGACCAGGACTGCAAAAGCAAAGAGAAAAAGAAAATGAAGAAGGGAAAGAGAAGCGCAGTAAAAGAGAAAAAAGTGACAAAGGACGGCAAAAATAAGAATAAGAGAAAGAAAGCCATGTTGTCAGAGGATGAAGATGAGGATGAAGATGATGATGATGATGAGGAGGATGAGGATGTTGACATCGAGATACTTGAGCCCAAAAAGGAGGAAGAGGATGAAAACTCTAAGGATGATTTCTATATCAATGCCTCCATGGTTGAGGTGATGATGGATGAAGGCTGCAGCGAAAACACCAAGAATACTCCAGTGCAAAGTACCAGAGAACCTGTTTCACCTTATTTCTCGGGCGGTGTGCCACCATCAAACGTCACTCCCGGAAAGAGGAAAGAGAAGGTCATTGTTAACCAAATTCCAAAGATTGAGAGTAATTCCATAGCCCAGTTGCAAGCAGACTGGGACTCCCCTGAACCTACCCCAGAAAAAGTGAAGCACCCTTCAGCATCAAAACCAAGGCAACCAACTCCATGTTCAAGTGGGAAGAGCACTCCTCAAACAGTAGCTGGACAGGTCGTTAAAAAGATGCTTGAGGAAGACTGGGGTTTGTGTTCTCCACATACGACCCTTTAAAAGACATAAAGGGTGTCAAAGGCCAAAGCAATGGCAAACATACCCCAAATAATAATGGTTACCCAGAACGCACTAGTGATGAGGAATTTCAAGAAGAGGTTATAGTATTTCGAACACCAAGAAGCCCAAACCAAAGAATAGTCCTAAGAAATCTGGTAAGAAGTCATCAGAAAAGGCCAGTAAAGAATCTGTTGCTGATGGGAATAAGAGTACGCTGACAACAGATAAAATCAATAATGCTGAGATCTCCTGCATCTAGTCAAGGAAGTACCGCTCTAGAAAGTGAAGGTGACAGCATACCTTTATTCAGCCCTATCAGGAGTCCAGGGTTGGTATCTCCTGTGCGATCCCCCACACCTCCCCAGACTGCAAAACACTCACCCAGTGATAAGGAAACTTTTCACGCCCCCAGTGTCTCCACACGATTCCCCAGACAGTTCGCCAGAAAGTTTCTCCAAGTAAACTCAAGTTATCCCCCAAATCAATAATAATGTACATAGATTTAATAGAATAAATAAAGTTCTGTCTTCACAGGAAGATGCATTTGATGCCCTGTCACAAAGCACCTCACAGAACAGCAAGAGTCCGATAAAAAGTCCAGACAGGGGGAAACTGCTTGTCAGAACACCAAGAAAAATTAATCAGAGCATCAGAAGTTCAGGACTCTTGCATGATTCCTCTCAGAGTAGTTTAAATGTCATAACCCAGAGGAATAAGAAACATCAATCTCCTCGCCAGTAATTCAAACTCTCCCGTGAAAATGAGTCCAGGAACATCCAGCCAAGCGATGGAAACCAACGCGCAGGAGAGGACTCTGGTTCATGATCCTTCAATATACAGAGATAGAAGAGGATACTATCTAGACAATTTTATGAGAATCATAGACACTGTTATGTCACAGCCCCAAGACCTACAGCTTTTGAACTGTGAGGATTTAGCAGTTATAGAGACTTTCGTGACTTATCACTTTCAGCACAGAAACTGTATGTGCGACTTTTTCAGAGAAAAATTAAGTGGAATAAAGCCTCCAAGATTGAATATAAAGACATATGTGATGCAGAAGATACAATGCTTTATATAAAGGAGCTTACATATGCAAATTCCTGTTGAACGGTATGATATATTTTTTGAGTTTGGTCATCTTGTTTGAATCATAACTAGATGTTAAGATTTATTATTTAATTAGGTTTGTTGTTAGTCATTATGTAAAATGATATTTTAAATTTAACTAATGAAATTGTTATTATGAAAGCAAGCAATACTGCATTTGAGCTATGTAGAAAAATATTACTTTTTTAGGTTCATATTCCTTGTTGATAACCAGATCCTACATATTTAAAAAAGAGTTATCTACTGTATGATACGTACATGACATTTTGATAAACAGATCCCACACATTTTCATAATGAAATGATGCACTGTGTGATATGTATGTACATGCTTATCTTGACAGAGACAGAAATGACCGGACTAGAGGAGGTGTTGGCCATACTCTCTAGTGAAGAATTGCATGGATTGTGTAAGGAAATGAAGGTAATGCCTTGTTGAACAGAGTTTTGTAGCATGAATAGTGTAGTAATGAGACTGAAAAAGCTTAGATACTTTTAGGTCTTTTTAGGATGTTTTTCCTGCCACTTTGATTTTATTGCATATTATGATTTTTATTGACTTACTTTTTTCTTCATAGTATTATTATTATTTCTTTTCTTTCTTGCTTCCAATTTTTCCTATTATTATATATAGGTTATTGTATTTACATATTCATATTTCTATTGTTATTATTGCTTTCAGTAATTAAGTAATTGTGTCTATAGATTTTTCAAATAATTTTAAAAGATTTCTTATCGATAATCCTCAGATCCGTAGTAGTGGGAAGAAGGAGGAATTAGTTTCAAATCTCATAAAATTCACCAAACAACAGAAAAGCATATTCAGTGCTTTTAAGAAGACAGCAAATCAGGACTCTGTTGTCCTGAAAAGGTAAACAGAGAAAGCGAATGAGAATGAGTGATACCTATAGTGGCTTATAGTAACATTTTATTATGTAGAGCCAGATTTCCAATAGGCCCTGGTCAGAAATTATCACCGCTTTGGTCTTGGTACTCTCCCGGAGCTCGGGAGCTAGACTTATTCTTGCTTAGAACCTGCCAATTATTTCCTGAAGTGATGGTCATATTATTTGAGTGTCTTAGAAATTTATTAGTAATTATGATGCTGTCATAACAATCTAAAATTCTTTTGGAGCTTGTCTAGGCATCCCTAGTCTGGGGGGAATAATTGCAATGGACCCAAAACAGGAGGCTGGACGGTTGGAGGTGGCTCAGGCCAGGGCTGGGTCGGAGTAGGCAACCTTAGCTTGGAAAGTTGTTTGCCCATTGGCTTTGAGGGGGGATTGAGAAGCCAGGGAAAGCACCATAGGGTGAAGGATTTTATTATTGTTATTGTTATTGTTATTCCTATCTCTGTCTTCTTCAGGGCCAAAGCAATCCTTGGCCATTGCTGTTTGGTGAACAAGGAGGTGCGACGGGTGTTCATGAGAGTCCTCATGCTCTATGGCCTCCCACGGTATGATGAGGAGGATGAAGGAGGACAGCAATCCCAGCTCACAACGCTCCTGATGGTGAACATGGGCAAGATGGAGTTCCCTGAGTTTGAGGTCATCAGAAACCATTCCATCTTCAGGACGCGAGAAGACCTTCTCAGGTAGGGAATCCGCATTGGAAGAAAGTCTTTTTGATATTAATATTATTATATTTCACTGTGTGTGTGTGTGTGTGTATGCACGTGTATATGTGTCTGTCTGTCTGTTGTTTGTTTTTCCCTTCTATTTTATCTTCCTTCTTCTTTCCTCTTGTCACTTGTATAGTTCAGTCTGCCTGTCATGGCCATATTTTAAAGGATGATGTATGTTTTCAATTGATATGTTATGTATTTTGAGTAAAAACTATGTAATCATTCATCCCTTTCTCTTTTTTACTTTTCCTTTCAGATATGAAACTTGCAATCAGATTCTCATTGATGTACAAGAGTGCATGGAAGCACAGAAGTGGGAAGAAGCTTTGCAACATTGCCAGCTTGCAGTAACAACCTATCAGGAGCTTATATCCGATGAAGAGTTGATGTATGTAGATTGGTGTTATGTATAGTGTAATAGGTCTATGTAGCTATGCATATTTCTTTTTTACAGTTTTGTTTACCTCAGAGAATTATATATTACCAGGTATTAAGGTTTTAGCTTCCTCATCAAGGGTGATATTGGATTGTGTTTTTTAGCTTATTTTGGTTTCCCATGAAATGCTTTACCTGACAAGTTTTGTTGTGAATTGGAAAGTAATTGAAGAATATTTCCCCCTTGCTTCTCTAGTTTATGTACCTCATAAAAACTAATTTGAATTGCAGTCTGCACTGTAAAGTGTTTAAAGTTGTTTTCCTCCTTTTTATTAAAGAATGCCTCATCAGGAACCACGAGAAGTCGCTGCCAAGCTTCTTGCGTCGCTTTACATCTGTGTCAGTCTTGATTTACATCTTGACGTGTTCTGTGAGTGCCACCAGAGGCTGAAGAGTTACCAAAAGGCAGTGGATCAGCTACAGGATTTGCTGAAACAGAGAACGCATTTGCAGGACTACAGAGGAAGATGGTTTGACAGACTAGCACTCAATTTGGCAACACATTTGAAGAAGCCAGCGCAGGTGAGGTTATAAGACCTATGATATGATGTCTTTTGTTATCTTTAAAGCAGCAACAAGTAGAAGACCTTTAGTTCATCAATTATGGCATCAGTAATATTTTTAAACCATGTAAGAAAGGATATTAAGGTGGTGGTATTAAGGAAGTATAGCTACTTCAAACATTCATACCAGCTGTTTGCTTGACAGGCTGTTGACGCTATTCAAGAAGCTTTAAAGGATCCCGAGGTGCGGAAAGGCCATCGCCTTTCACTAAGCATGAGAGCAGAGAAAATGGCAGCTTCTGCCCGACATAAATCACTGGCAGCAACCATTGCTGAAATGCCTCTTATGCACCCAAGAGAAGCACCAAAGATTATTATAGAAGGCAGAAGTCTCCCAGGGTAAGATGCTTCAAGATTGAAGTTCCTTATTCTTTAAGAAGATTAGTACATGCATGAACTAATAGATGCTGCAATATACACATTTAAAGTAAGTCATCTTTTTCTGAGATTTATTTCCTTTCATTTGTGCTTCTTGTTTCACAGTCCTTTTCTTCTTTCTCATTTTACACGTGCTTATCAACAGGGACATCCCTGGATATAAGAGGGTTTTATCCGCCAAGATTCAGCTCGCATGCAGGAGAAGGAGAAGTCACAGTGTGTTCTGTTGAGGAGTTGGTCTTGGGTCACTATAAAGACCAGGGTTACACAGAAGGTAGCTCTTTTTCCTTTTAGTTTTAGTGAGACATTATTTTACTGTAAAGTTTAATAGGTGATGTGGTTTATGAATGTATTCCATTTTATTTTAGATGTGTGAGTAATCATTTGTAAGATGGAGGTATTACAAGCTAATCACAAGCATAAAAACTTTCCAGGTTTGCACCGAGAAGGTACGACAGTGAACTCTCTATTTGGCCTGTATTTCTGGGATGCTCTCTACTTGCCAGTGTCAGATGTATTCAGATCTCCACACCAGGCATCACCCTTAGATTTGGATGACCCAAACTTTTATGCGGCCAGGAAAGAGTGGATTGACCGAAGGCAAGTTTTTCGTCTCTTCTTTTTTTTCTGGCTATTGCCTGCTTTATTTATGAACGAAAATTAAAATGTGTCAGTTGTACTTGTCATGAATCTGTTACTGCAATAAATTTAGGATATTTCTTTAAAATTACATGTTTATTAGTTCATATATACATATTAAAGAACTTTACTATGAAGATGATATTGGTTTGTGATGAGTACACAGATACATGAGAAAGCTAAATTATGTGTTTGATTCATAGACTCGGTGATATGCGTCTTTGGTCGGAGGAAAGAGCAGTTAGTGAACTGGAGCAAGTATGGACTCAACACATTGGAAAAGTTTCCCTCGTGGCTTGGGACCTCTTCCGTAACCTAGATCATGCCAAGGTAAAGAGTATATGAGGCTCAGTTGATTATCCATTAGACAAATATTGTTAAATTTTTAAGGTGTTTCTTGATCCTTCATATTGGGTATTCAGAAATAACAGTTTTATCATAAAGTTTTTGTTGTTATTTTTAACAACATAGAGTCAGAGTGTACCAAGCATTCCAGTATGTAGAATACAAATAAGGGGTAAAAATAGTCACCCCAATAAGAATATAAATACTGCAGGGTTAATTTTTCACAAATCCGAAGCTTGTAGCTACACCCACATATTAGTACCAGGATATACCTCTCATAGCCTAACAAGCAAACAGCTGTTTAGCACACAACTGAGGCAGGCATTTGACATTTGATCTTGTTCTTCATGCTGTATGATTTAAATTGTAAACTCGTGCAAAAAGATGAGAGGAAGACACTCGAACAAGGAAAAATATGATAGATTTCTCATATAGATGAATAGTTGTATAGCTATGACCTTGAATAAGTATAAACTGACCAGTGATGTAGTATGATCGTAGTTCTTAAAATGTATGTTTGAAATCACCAGAATATGGAGGGGCATTTAAAAAAAAGAGCAATTGGTAAATCATGATTCTAAGCGCCTCATTAGACTGTTGATGTGTAATTCATACTCAAAGCATTAGTAGTGGAAAAAGAGCAGTATATAAAAGAAAGATTTATTTAGAAAATAGTAGTAGATAGAATAATAGACTACCCTATTCATGTTGTCTGTATATTGGCCAAGCATGTTTTTCAGTAATATTTTATTGTTAGGGAATTACCTATTTCTCCTTTCAGAGTTTGGTGGCAAGTATGGGTACAAATACTTTGGCTGCAGTGTGTGAGCGCCTTGCTAAAGATCACAGGTTCACACGCAGTGGTTTCCCAGATCTTGTGGTTTGGGACCCTCTCAATAAAGTAACTATTGTTTTTGAAAATTTTTATCACTTGAATATCTGATATATGTTCTGTTTTGCCTTGTACTGGAACAGATTATACAGTATATATAAATAAAGTTCTGTCCATCTGTTATGATTATGTAATTAGATAGTTTAACAGCTCTCTGTCATTCCTCTCAGAAATGTCGAATTGTTGAAGTAAAAGGACCAATGATCGACTGTCAACAAAACAGATCCTCTGGCTTGAATACTTGCTTGATAGTGGTGCAGTTGCTGAAGTCTGTCATGTTGAAGGTAAATGATGATTGTATCAGTACTGGTCTATTTTTCTTATTTTAGCTTGTCTCATTTTCTTGTAATGCCTGTTTTATTATTACTTATTTATTTATTCTATTTATTTATTTTTATTATTATTTTTTAATGTCTACATTAGCAATACTGAAACTTAATTACAGTATAGCTGAATAATTCTGTGTTTAACCGATTGACAATGCGGAACATGCACTTTCTTCCATAATTTCTTATGAATCTCACTGGTGGCTCCACAATGCCTCAGCCATCAGTCAATTAATATTGTTGACATTATGATTTTTGCATTGTTATTAAAATGCTAGTAGCATTAGACAAAAATGTAGATGAATATCAAGGAAAAGGGTAAATAGTGAGATAAGTAGGAACTGATACCTCAGGGACTAAGCACTTGTAGAACCAAGTGTAAATAAAATTAATAAACTAAATCGCTGTGGATCTTGCATGTCCTGCCATCCAGGCATTATAAGCCAAGCAATCCATACTTGTTTAAAAAATTTCTTCCTTATTGAAACAGCAATTGGAGCCAAGAAGATGAAGAAGGCATCGCCTCGGAAGATCTCACCCAAGAAAGTATCACCCAAGGAGTCACCTCCAAAGTCAAGGAAAGGTGGAAAAAGGTCAAATTGTGATGATGGAGAGGATGGTGGAAGCAACGAGAATAAAAAGCAGGCAAAAAGAAGGAAGAAAGCGCCAAGACTGATCTGCCAAAAAAGGGGAGAACGGGTAAGTTGCAAGATAAGGGGATGATTCTGACGATTTTGAAGAGCCTAGTGTTAAGATTAGAACTGGGAAATCCTAATGTTTCTTTCTTATTATTGTTATTATCATTATTATTTTTATCATTAAAATTATTATCATTTTCATTATTCTAGCATGTATGTGTATATGTAGATATGTGTGTATGTATGAATGTATGCATATGCATTTTGTATGTGTGTGTGCGTGGGCATGCATGCATTTGCATAGATAAGTTTCCAAAGGAGTACCAAATACCATAGCTTATTCCAATATTGTGATAAAATTACATTTAGTCTATGGAGATTTGTAAAATTTCAAAAATTGTTATTACAGTATTGTAAAGTAGTATAGATATTTTTATTTCCTATGTTTAAGTGAAGAACTACAAATATAATTTTAAAATTGTTATATTCCCTGTTAATTATATAATTGTTGGGACACTTAAAATGTAGATAGGGAGGCACATACTGTGGCTGTCCATAATACAGCAATACTGTTTTTGGAGGTTCCTTGGGAATGGGGAACTTATATCATGTTGCATGAGTTACATTTTTAGCAAATTGTTTGAATAGGAGACAAGTTATTATGCATGAAAGTGGAAAAGAAAGTTTACAAAAGGAATTATGTATTTTTATAGAAGTAGATTCTTAAACCAATGAATTAGTAATGTTTAGATTTAAATAATAGTTTTCATGTATGTGTAATATTTCTCAATCTCCTAAAAACTCTAAAATGTATATTTTAGATTGTATTGTAGATCTGATGAGGTCAGTACACATATTTTTCCCTCTTGTATTTTGTACGGTTTTTTGTTTGTAACCTTATAAGCTGTATGTTACAAGCTTCATCAATTAAGTTTATTAACAAAATCTCAGTATTATTAATTTTCCTAGTGTTATTTTAAGATTTGTGTATATTCAGTGATTTAAATTTGTTACTTTTTATGAAGAAAATCATGGTATTATTCATTTTTCTAATATGTTAAGATTTGTATATATTAAATTACCTTAAAATTGTTACTTTTGTTGTGCCTTTTTTTTTTATTCACCTCTTTGAATAAAAGTTACTTTTATGAGTAACTGAAATATTAGAAAATTAGGAAATTTAGAAAAACAATTTTTGAAGGAGAAAAAAAGATATTCCATACCAACATAACAGGGAAAAAATAAAACAATGGCTGCTACCAACTAAATAACAGTTGGCCTTGAAATTTTCAGGGGAGAATCAGAGGCCCTGAAACTCCTTGGAAATGCATTTAACTCAATTTTGGCACGATGGGTGAAAAATGACCAGACAATCCCCTGAACTTTGTGTTAAAGTAGAATATATACATCATTTACACTATCAATCATGTTTTCAACAATGAATATTCAAGCCAGGAGCTTTTTCTTCTTTTTTCCTTGCAACTGACTACATCTAAAATTAGTGTATAATGTAAATACACAACACCAATAGTACTTTATTATTTTCACATAAGCTGTACATACGATTTCCTATACTTCAAATATCACTATGAAACCTTTTATAATTAATATCATATCTTGGTTTCATGGGAGCTATGACAATAGATCTTAATATCTGCAATAAGCAAAATTAGTTGCCGCTCAATATATGACAAGTAAAAAATTAAAATAACTTTACATCTTGCAAATGAAAATTGAGTGGGAGGGATTTCAATTTCCTACAATATATTAGATCACAAAACTTTACCCTTTTGCATGACGATTAAATTACACCTTATATCGGTTATATTCAGATACTGATTGTTAATACCATTATGCCAAAGGAGGTACTAATTGACAAGTTGCACATGGAAGGCCAGAAACTAAACTTAACAACATTAATAAATAGTTAATAATATTTGCAATCACTTTTCAAAGCCTAAGGAATATTTAAGCTGCGCTCCATTTATCTAAGAGGGGAAGACGCTAATGAGGTTAGAGATGAGAACGAGGAGTCGTAGTGCCTCGTGGACTGGTCATCATCTGCTTGGTTGTTCTTCAGCTCTCCCATAGTGTGCACCAACCGAGCCCATTCATCCGCGCGTGGAAGTGCAAGTTGCTGGAAGGTAAAATTCAAAGGTGATATAAAAGCCATTTGCATATGGCCACACTAATATCAACATTTAGTACAGCTTTGATATTATTTTACAATACATTTTATGACAATACTAAACATTGAATTTGTAGAGCACAGGATTACTTACTTCTCCTACGTCATAGATCCAGATTTTACCCATATCGTCACCAACTGTGATCTGTTGACCAGAGTTAGTCCAGGACACTCTATTCAGAGCTGGGTTACCGTCTACATAGGTACTTGCTGTAGGAACCTGGAAAAATATCAGCAGTCAGTATCTTCATACTTTTTACCTCTTCAGTACATAAATAAAATACACAAATGGATCATACTTCAAACTTCTACTTTTCTTTATCCTATCACATAAGAATGAAAGATGAGATAAAAAAACTCAATGAATGGCCTTAGTATACAAGTATTTGTTTTTAAAGTATCCACCTGTCAAAGATGGCCATACCTCTGTGTCCTGGTTTAGATTCCAGAGGTCAATCCTTCCTGATCCGTCCACAGCCGTGAAGAGCGCAGGATGGATGGGTGACCAAGCCACATCATATACATAGTCGCCGTTGTCCTCAAATGAGTATAGAGGCTTTGTTTCCTGTTAAAATACAAAATTAATGAGATAAAATTCAAATGAAGCATATTGTAGTTTAATCAAGCCAAATATAAAATAAAAAAACTGAACCAAAGCAAAGAATACTTCCTATTTGTGAATGAAGGCACTCTTGAAAATAAACTTAAAAACAGCCTGTGTAATATAATGCATGATAAAACTGCTTTTGAGAAGTCTGTGCTTTGTGAATGCTTGCTTTGAAAAGTAAAACACACAAAAAGCTGTAAACATTAAGAAATAACAGTGGGGCAAGGCAAAGAGTAATATTCACCCTAATAACTTTTACAAAAGTGGAAATTATGATCGGTGGGACAGATTTCATAGTGCTCTTTGTTCTGATTATCAAAATTAGCGACATGAAACCTCTATAACTTTTGTGATCTAACATCTAATAAAATGCAGAAGACATAAAAAAAAGATAAAGCACAAACTAATGCAATATTACTTCAACACAAACCTGTTTTCATCCCTTGTTACATAGCAAAAAGCTTCTGTAGGGAGACAACATATGATACTGCTATTCTACTGTATCTAACAATATTAGTTTTAACCTCCCAAAAATCTATTACGGGAGAGGTTATTTGCTTTTACATCTCCTCAAATTACAACTTTGTATGCATATACTTCTTCACTAGCTCATATATATCCATCTTGTTTTGGATAAATCTCAATGTCTGAAGAATTGGATAGAAAAGCACAAAAACGTCATGCAAAGCAGAAGCGGCATTCTACGACAAAACTGTAAGAACTGAGATTTCCAATTCTGCTGTAGTCCATATCACCTCAGGCCACATACCAAAAGAATGTGACGTTTTTTGCCTTAAAATACATTGCAATGATGATAATAACAAAAAGATCACAAGATTCCCCGCATTCAATTCCGAAGATCAGCATAGTAACACAAATCTTTCCCCTTTTGCTTTATATCCTAGACACACTTAGATATACAACAGCCACCTCCTATGCTTCACTTTGGTTGTGATCAAAGGAAAAACCTCAGAAGAAAGGTGTAAATCAGACATCCATGCTCTTGAGGAAAACGAGTTTCCTCAGTCAAAAAGCTCATTTGATTCCACATGAATGCTTACCTTCATAGACCAATGCTATCACATCCCATACAGATCATGGTAGAAGAAAAACATGGTGTTACAAATATAAATATGTAACATGCATGAAACCGCTCACATGAGAACCATTTCATGTATCCGTTCATATGAATATTACATTATGAGTCTAATTCTTGTATGTAAGCAAAGAAAAGTAAACTTTTTTTATCCTACATTTACTTAATGGTATATGTATTACTGTCAAAGAAGCTAAATGCCAAGTTGTGCATTTTGTATCTGTGTGTTTAAGGTATGCTATCTGTTATCTATGTTACACAGAATACAATACAATTGTTTTATTGCCTTCTCATCGTAAACTCAATCTCCTCCCCATTAGTTATTCTTTCATTTTTAAACTATTTACAAAATATCAAATAATAAACTGTGTAAGTGTTTTAAAGAACTTTATCATGTATTTTACCTGTGATGATACTGAATCCCAAACTCCCAATTTAAATTTCAATGCCTTTACACTAGTTGTATTTACTATACATGTCGTATTCTGTATGACACATACATACCCACGTCCACACAGTGAAAATATATTAACACAATTAAATTGGTATATGCTGCAAGCTCTGTTACCAAAACAAAGGAAAAAGAAAATGCATACAGGACTATGTTATGCAACATCATTCTTGGCTAAAAGTCTCTAAAACTTACCTTAACAGACCAAAGCTTGACTGTCCAGTCAATTGATGAAGTGAGGAAGAGATGTGAGAAGTCAATAGGTCCCAGGGTAGCATGAGTGCTCACACCTGTCACTGGGCCCTGGTGTCCCTCGTAGGCATCCACTATGCCGGCTTTACTTCCGTGGCGGCAAGCTGTTTGGAAAATTGTCTTGTTATCATATTCCATGAGAAACAAAGGGTAACACAGAAATGAAAAATACTATGTGGGCTATATCAACCCCACAACCATGTTACATGTAAATTTTTCCACCACAAAATAACGCACCAGTAAATACAGCTCCTTCTTCAGAGCCCACAATAAAGTTATTGACATCTCCATGAGGGAAGGCTAAAGATGTGACTGCTACTGCACGTGACTGCTTGTGCTGGAGCTCCATTGATTCCTAATATAAAAAATCTCATTATTAAACAAGCCTTTAAGAATATGGACATCAGTTTCCATTAACTTTACCTCAACTTTCAAATATCATATTGTCAATCTTCTGAGAACTATTACAATTATAATTACAATTACAAATTGTAATTTTGAACAAATAGACAAATAGGGTCATTTAACAACTACAAATACAAAACTAGTTTTCTGTCATAAAAAGGCCAAACAAACCTGAGGCTGTGATAGCATGTCCAAGGACCAGGAACACATCTTTCCATCAGTACTTGCACTGATAAGATTGTGGGCATTTTGGGTGCCAACCACCTTCATGCAGTACACAGGATGCTAGAGAAAAGGCAAAGATTAATTCTAAGACCCTTAAAATACCATCGTCTCTATTTCTCTCTTTCTCTGCTGGAATGATTTCATTACACACAATGAATAATGGTTCTTTTGTGCCTGTAAAAGGATATCTAACTTATGTGGGAAGATTATGATCTTAAATTTATAGAAAGGCAATGAGAGGAAGAAAAGACTTTAGACTTACAGTGTGAGCTGAAGCAGACAGGGGACTGCGCTGGACTGGAGTTCTCTTTTGGCTACGGTTGTCCCAGAGAACAATTTGTCCAGAATAAGTTCCACCAATGATCAAATTGGGATGGAACCTTCATGGAATACAAGAAGATCATATAATTTCTATACCAAAGAAACAGCATGAATGTCTCAAAAGAACCTGCTAATGCAAATTCAAAAGCCATCTGATCCATTGGCAAGATATGAGAATTTGTAACAATATCAAAATTAATTTTCAATCACACGAGCTCCTAATATGAAACAACAAGCAAAACGTGTATAAATATATATGTACTTAAGGTTACATCCACACTCAAGCAACATAAAAGGCTTACCTTGCAAATGTTGCAGACATCACTGGAGACTGACAATGGAAGATATACTCTGGTGTTTCTTTCTTAAATTTGGTATTCCACACAAGGGCAACACCATCGGGGTCATGAGGAGAGTCCTCATTGTTGTTGTAGCTGTGACAAAATATTTGCTTCCATCATCCACAACAGGTTGGAAATAATCATAAATATATATCAGACATAAACGAGTACAATTTTACATATACCATATTAAAAGCTAAACCACTTCTAACCTGGTAACAAGGAGTTCAGGATACTGAGGAGACCAGTCCATGCAAGTGATACAGCGATTGCGTGACCATCGTTCATCATAGAACCAGCGATTCAGGGACAACTTGACACCTCCATTCTCATTTCTGCATAAAAAAAGGTTAGTAAATATTCCTTGCACTGAGAAGAAAAAAAGAAAGGAAGGTAGAAGAATAACAAGAAGAAAAATGGAACTAGTTAACTCCTGAAGAAAAAACATTCTCACACAAACCTGCAGACAGAGTTTTCACAATGTCACTGATGCCGATTTTAAAATACTTATAAAAGACAGGAAGAGCTAGAAGTGCGTAAAGGGGGGAACAACAGGGAAAGGGCCCCCAAAGATGCCCATATACATACGCTTCACCATCCTCTTCGTGGTCATGCGAGTAATCTGCGAAGATGTTGGTGTCCTCTGCAAGGGCTCGCTCAATTATACGAGTCGAGTGGTCAAAGAAGCTGTGGAACTCCTCTGTCATCATCAACATCTGCTTCTCTTCATCTGACAGCTCACGGGCTGTTTTGTCAACGAAGACAAATACCATCTGTCATATTGTAAACTCTTTTCTCATACTACTATGTAACAACAATGAACCTTTACATCAGGACAGCTTTGAAGAGAATTAGAATATCATAAGAGAAAGGGCTGCAGCTAATATAATCACGTAATAACATATAGGAAGGAAAGCTAACCAGTGAACAACAACCTCTAAAGATCCAAAGTTTAAAACAGATATACTAAAAAAAATAAAAATATAAAATTCAGACTCCAAGTTAAACCCCCAAACCCTGACAAGGAAAGCCAACAACCCTTACGTGGCTTGGGTTTCTCCTCCTCGACCTTCTTCTCAGCTTCGGGGGCGAGGCCGGCTTGACGTCCTGCACCTGCGGCATGCCCGTGGGAAGAATCCCAGGGGGAAGGTGGCGGTTGTGCCCTCCTCCGAACATCGGTGGGGTGTCAAGCATGGTCAAGGAGTTGTCCTCCTCCTCAGCTTGCGGGTCATCGTAAGTAAGAACTACATGGTAAATAAGTCTGTTTCTGTTCTATCTATAAGTCATTTATGTTTTTTTTTTTTTTTTTTTTTTTTTTAATCATTATTACTACATTTCTCTTCTTTTCAATTTTTTTCATTGGAATCATTAATCTTAATATATGAAAAGGTTACTGCCTCTTATCTCAAAAGAAAAAAAGAAAAAAGAAAAAAAAAATAAGAAAAAAGAAAAAGAAACTTGATTTCTAATGATGATTCAGGAAATCTCATTCTGTATTACAAACAGGTTGAATCTTTTTACCAAAGGAATTTTTCCAAGAACTACAATAAAAAACAAAATAAACAAATCATGTACAAAAAGGTCATCAAGTTTCAGGAACATCAAAGGTTACGACAGAATTTATGAAAAAAATCAATAAAATAAACAAAATTATATCTAAATCATTTAATCTTAAAATGGTGCATAGAGTGAAGGGTGCGCTCTGCCCTGTGGTAGCCGTTTGATATCTTTGTGACAAGCAAAAATAATAAAGAAAAAAGAAAAAAAAAAAAAAAAAAAAAAATGTATACATAGTAATGAAAAAAGAAAACCTCTTCATACTATCGGAAAAGAATGTAAAAATGAAAAAGAAGAATATACTGAAATGGAAGAGGAGACACAGTGCACTTCAGTCTTCACTTACCGAGAGAAGGAAAAAGAAAATCAGGTTTGGATAAAAGACTTGACTGAAGTTCTCTAAACTAGACTGAATTACCTCTTGATAAAAAATAAAAAAAAGTATTTGCAATATACCCAGCATTCTAACATCAAATGCTTACAAAGCATGCCATGATGACAGTATCATAACAGAAAGAGTCTGAACAGGGGAAAAATTAAAGAAAAAAGAAAAAAAATATATATAACAAAACCTTGCACCTATTTATGTCAAGAAGCCAACTCTAAAATATGAATATGTATTCTATGAACTGCCATAGCATCTTTTAAAGCTAACTATAGCACCTATGACTATAGCTTATAATTTCTAGTCTCATAAATCTGGACTCCAGATTCTGTATCATATTTCCGTAATCATTTATGAAATTGTAATATATTCGGCTTCATACATATCCACACTGTTAGTGGCCAGTCACTACTAGTTTCTATCATAAACAAATAAATAAAATAATCAAATAATAACATAAAATTCTGGAGATATAAAGCTGATGTCGAGAGCTGAGGATCCCTCAATACCTTGAGTAAACTCCAGTGCATAATTTACATACAATCAACACAAATGTCTATAGTAATGATGTACTGAATACAGCCTTTCAGCTTACTATGTCACATTCTTCAATCACTTTGCAACCACATTCTAGGCTTGTGTTATACTTCAATTTCTTTTTCTTTTTTTCTTCTTTCTTTTTCTTTAACAAAATCAGGAAATGTGAAAGTAGTAAGGTCAATCCTACCGAGCCACAAAAAGGACACGCAAGAAAAGCAATAAAATCACAAATGAATCTTTGTCCACCTGGTAACATTAAAGCAATCAAAGCTTATTGGGTTACAGGACTCTTTTACCTCGTTGACCTCTTTTAAAACACATTTCCTCATTCTTCTTCTGAACTATTTGTGAGAGAAAGTCTGAACACAGATCATAGAAACAGTATACACCAAGTACACCTCCAAGAACGAGAGACATCTTATGCCTGTTTCATCATTAGCAAGAACCATCAGGTCACATTCAGGCATCACAATATCTGATAAAGGGAAAGGGGGGAGTGGGACCTGCTTCTGAAATCATTTACAATTTCCAACAGTGGGTGATGAAAGGAGGGAAGAGAGGAAAGACTGGCATGCAACTAGCTAGAGATGAACAAGTACGTTACGCTTAGCGTATGTAGATATACGTATGGGGAAAAAAAAGAAAGAAAAGTACAGAGAAACTACCTTACATCTCAAATCTTTAAAATAAGAGAGAAAAAAGTCAGTTATCTAGTGAATACTGGGCACATTTAGAACTTAAAGAGGGAAGGGGTTTCTAGACAGGAACAATTACAATGTACACTACAAAATTCAACAATTAAGCAAATTGATGTCGTTACAACGTTCCTTCCGGAGTTAGTTACTGAGCAGGTTATCACATAACTCAGTAATAAATTGGTGACATTTGAAAACATGCTCTTCATTTAGTCAGCAGAAAATATGGAAATTACCCTGACTAACATGTTTCAATTGTTAGAACACCTAATGAAATTAATGAGTGTTTGGCTCTTTTTTCTGGTTAGCATATTAATACTTCATGAAAACAATTCATAATCTATCCCAAAATACCTCCATAATTTCTTACAGAAAATAAAAAAAGTATATACTTATATATAAATAAAGAATGAAATGCCTTTGTCCAAAAACACATTACAGTTCATATGTACTGAACTAATATATCCTATAACCAATTTAACTAAAGCACAGGCATTGGTCTGGTACAATCCATACATTACAACAGCCTATATCATTGGAGGTCAAGTCTAGGCCTTCAAGTTTGCAGTGTCAGTCATGTCACAATGAAAGTATAAAATAAGCAGGTTTTTGTCACATCACGGCATTAAGCGTAAGGCATTTATAAATGCTGAACTGTATAGATATGTATATATTCATATATACACACATGTGTATGTGCATAACTTTGTGTATGCATATAAATAAGCATACATAAATAAATAAATAAACAATAAATATATTTATATATTTATAGAATAAATAAATAAATAAATAAATAAATAAATATATATATATACACATATGTGTCTATATATATTCATATAGATTTAAATATATTTATATTCATATATATAGATGTATATAATATATAGATGTGTATAATATATATAATATATATATATATATATATATATATATATATATATATATATATATATATATATTATACATATATATTATACATATATACATATATACACATACACATCCATACATATATGCACACACACAAATATGTATAAAAATACCTAGAGCTATTAAAGCTTGTATCAAAAAGATGTATAAGCAATAAGTGAATAGAGAATATAAATTTCCATAATACCTATTTCTAGAAAATGAGCTAATGCAAATATTGATCACTTTTCCCACCTGCAATTCTCATGAACTGAAACGTTACAAAGAGAAACGGACTGATTCCTCTCTCTATCTCCTTCTCAAAGCAATTTCTCTTTGGAGAGCAACCTTTCCTTCTCACAGAGGACAAGAGAAAGACTTAATACATGAATTACAATATTTGCATTATCATTTTCCCGTCATACATTCACACACAACAGAACACAAGGACAGACAACAGCAAACAGTAAAGGCCAAACACTAAAGCAGCTGATAACCATAAAGCAAAAGACAAGAGCCAAGGTAACATCAGCAGCAGTAGCGGCCAGGAGCACGGGACCTACCTGTGAATTCATCATCCCATTCTAGCGCTGGTTTAGATTATATTCGTCTGGGTATAGGAGAGAGGGGGGGGGAAAGAAAAAAGACCAAGTCAGTCTACCTCCGTGGTGGGCTGTTAGCAAACATCCTCACAGCCACATCAGTTCACAATCAAACTTTCTTCTTTTTTTTTTTTGTATTTGTTAACAGTTGATTACATACTTTTAGTGTTAATCATTACTCTCTAACATGAAAAAACAGCAGTACAAGAGGATCTTAAAGTGTTAATTTCATCTACAAATCTCTGATGCATAATGAACATAAAACACATGTGGCACAGTGACAATGAGATCATATATTAGCTCACATTTGTTGCAAAACAGCACTGTCGTGCAAGCCGACAATGCGTCGGACATGGACAAGAAGCCTACGAAGGCAAAAAATGTGTACATGTTACTGTGTCAGTTTTTTTTTTTTTTTTTTTTCATGCCTCATGCACTATGGTAATGAGACTGCAGAAGACTTAGTGATGACACAAGCGACAGCAATCATAGGATACAGAACCTTGTAAAGTGTGGACCACTTGTAGATATAAACAAGCATATCAAAGTCTCACACACCCTTTTAGTGTGTGTGGGGAAATTAATTCTCTACAGTTCACTAGGCATTATCAAATGACAGGCAAAGTCATTTACCCATTATCTGAACAGCAAATAGCATTAAATGCATCCAATAATTTAAAGGAAAAGAAATTATGAAAATTATTTTCAAAAAAATAAATAAAAATCAAACAAAAAGTATAGACTACAGCTGTGACAAAACCAACTTCAATGAACTTTTCATAATTTGACACAAGCAACTGTGTTCATTCTTGGACAGCCAAAGCTACAAATTCATGGCTTTATTGCCTCTCTACCTCAACAAAGGTTATCAAGCAACTAAGCAGTACATTGAAAAAATAATTAAATAAAAATTAAAAATCGAAAAAAAAAAAAAAAAAAAAATTAACAATCAATAGAATTGACAAACCATACTCTTACTTACGCATATTGTGGTATTTAGATCGAATTTGAGCTAAGATTCCATCTCCTAGAATTGGGAAAAAAGAAAAAAAACAAATTTAGACCAAGAGCTACGCAAACAGTCAACTACTCCTCCGAGTCCACTAAACGCGTCTTCCCCGTGATCCATAATCATGACAAAACAAGGAAGCCGCTACCTCAACTATGAGAATTGGCTGACACAAAGTCCAGGAAAGAAGCAAAGGTTCTGTATCCATCTTCAAGGTTCCTAGGCCAAATTTTCTGTCGCTTTTTTTAAGATCACAAACAAGCGTTCGTGTTCGGGTATTTTCTTTTTATTCTCTCAGGCTTAAAATACTGTAATGGTCTAAAACAGACATTAAAACTCTTAAAAAGAGAGAAATGTATACATACTTCATATCATTTTATTTGTTTTCTTTTAAACAGATTTCTTCTGCAAAGAGTTCACTTGCACCTTCACCAGAGTGCCACAATTTCTTTTTTTTTTTTTGTGCCTATCCTGACACTGTACTCCAAAATTTGGGTCCTGATTTTGGGGGTATGGGATTTCTACTAGTGCAACAGTAGATAAAAGACAAATATACTCCTGCCATGTACATCAAAAATAAAAAAAAATAAATAACAATGATAAATGGTCATTGCCCTGATATCCATGCATCAATCCATCAAGAAAGACATTTACATACGGCACTTTATCTGATCTGCTAACCCTTTTGAGTGTCTCAGGTTCATGCAAAGTAAATGAGGAGACAATATAAGCCCACTTTTCACGGTACTTAAGATTTGTATGAGAAAAATATTGAAAAAAAAGAGAAAAAAAAAAAATCAAATAATATGTAAATCAGGGGGGAGTTGGGGTTTAAGGACTAGCCAAGCAAAGGCAAAATATACAAGGCAAAAGAATTTGTATATGTTGCTCCAATAACGACAAATAGCTTGAAAAAAAATCCTAAAAATAACAGGTGGCACACAATCATGTATAGCAGGAAATGCTCTCAAAATATAACTGTTGCTTTTTTTTTCTTTCTTTCTTTTCATATGGTAATATGCAAATAATGATGTAAAAATAATAACTATAGTGATGAAAATACTATCTTCTAAAGATGCGCTCTGAACACCAGCAAAGATGCAATTCTGATTCCTACGTTACGAAAGCAAGACGGTACTAAAAACAAAATAATAATGAATTTACAATGACATGGCTATGGGGATGTAAGCCTATGATCTAATTTTGTCTGAACTACCAAATCAGAACTATGAGAATAATATCTTCACAACTTATGCTCTAATAGAGGTCATAAATCTCATTAGAAAAACATGCTACACAAATTGTAGTTCCATGTCACCGGGGGCAATTAATACCCTAGGGAGGTTGTCAGACTCTTGGTCGTGTCAATACTACCATAAGGCTTTGGCAACGGAAGGTGCGAGAGGGAAGAATACTGAACTTCTCTGTATATTAGCTCCTTTTAATAAATCATTATGACTACAAACAATACAAGGAGAGTGGTTTCCTTTTGGTGAATTCCCGTTGCCAAAGCGTTACAGAGTCAATCTCTATCAATATAACATTCTTTTTCTTTTCTTTTTTATGTGCAAGGGAGTGAACAGTAATCCAAATGAGAATGCCATAAGAAGCAGACTGTGGAAATTCAAAATCAAATGAGACAACTGTGTATGAACTGTGCATATATGTGGAAGATTGCATTCCAACTGTACCTTATATCTTCACCTGTTTTCATAGCCTTTTTTTTACTTTACTCAAACAGCTTCATGCATTCATTCATTACTGTGTGTGTGTGTGTGTGTGTGTGTGTGTGTGTGTGTGTGTTGTGTGTGTGTGTGTGTGTGTGTGTGTGTGTGTGAGAGAGAGAGAGAGAGAGAGAGAGAGAGAGAGAAGAGAGAGAGAGGAGAGAGAGAGAGAGAGAGAGGGAGAGAGAGAGAGAGTGAGAGAGGGAGGGGGGGGGAAGAGAGAGAGAGAGAGAGAGAAAATGGACAGAAAATTAATGTTGATATCACTAGGAGTTTTATTGTGAATTCAAGAGAGTTACCCTGTTCAGGTTTGCAATAGTATTCATGTTTGTTTGTGACATTCAATATCACAATTATCTATAATCTATTGTATGCCTTTACAATTATGTAAATCAGCCACATAAGACACCTGTGTTTGTGTCACATTTATTTATTAATATATATATATATATATATATATATATATAATATATATATATATATATATATATACTTATATAGACACATTTGTTCTGATCTGAATTTGAATCTACAGTCTCAATTAATTTTAAAACCATGAAAAAATTTTGTTCAATCAGCCCAAGGCAAAATGAACTTGCATAAAAGGTAAAAAGAGATAAAGAGAAAATAATGATAAAAAAAGAAAAATAAATCAAGAGATGCATGTCTCAAAGTCAAGTCAAGATCCTCATTGTAAATTACAGTCATGTGGAGACAGGGTATATGTGCGCAGTCACAAAAATATATATATATAAAAAAAGAAAATGAAATACTAAATAGTAGTATAAGGAGGAGGAAGAGGAGGAGGATGAATCACTGGTACCGTCAACACAGTCTAGAACAAGGTCCAAGGTCCCGCATGTACATAATCCGCTAATAAACTAAACAAAAACAGCAACTCGAGTAGAAGCAAGCAGGCACAAATCGAAATTAACAATTAGGAAAAAATTAAAAAAATAAAAATATAAATATAAACACATACACAAAAAGAAAAGAGAAGAGAAAAAAAAGGAAACAAATGCGCAAAATAATAAATATGTATATTACACATTCTCTAGGACGATGACACATAACTCCACGAAACCACTGCTCAGGGGGGGACACTTACTCAGGAAGGCACGTGTACGGCTCGACAAGCACGGAGGCAAGAGAAGCGCTAGCCCGTCACTCAGGGGGGAGGTAACACTCTCATTTACAAGCGTCACATCATTCCAATACAGAATACCACCAAGGACTACAGTATATAATCCAAAAAGGAAACATCTCTCTCTTCTTACTAAGTTTTCCTTTTTTTTTATCTTTTAAATCTAGTTATCTTTCTTTTTTTTCTTTTTTTTATTTCAATCTACAAGGAACATCACCAAGCCCATGTGGTAATAGCAAATAAGGAAGAGGAATATTTATGCATCTACGTACAGTTTTCTGCAAGCTTGGAACTAAAAACAGCAAACCGTGTATCACAAACAAACCAAACCAAATCATAAAAAAAGTAAATAAGAAAAGCTACAGTACAGAGGATGAGCAGGAATTCTTTTGAGTTTTTACTTTTTTTTTTTTTTTTTTTTTTGTAAAGTGCTAAGATGATTTTTTTTTTTTTTTTTTTTTTTTTTTTTTTTTTTTTTTTTTTAGGGGGGGGGCAGAGGTCCACATAGAAACTAACACTTACCGTAATAGTCGAAGGCATGGGCTGAGGTGAGGGAGAAGACGGGGTAAAAGTGAGTAATTTTTTTCCTGATACATCACCTGGCCTTTTTTTTTTTTTTTTTTTTTCTAAACTATAAATTATCTAATGCTAATACACTCCTATTAAGAAGACAGCAACACTAAAAAAATATTTACAAAAAGCCTCTCACAATCTTCAATGTGTATCCTTCGCATCCTTTCACTTCCTTAGAGTAACACTATTCTAGCTTTTGATTCATTGTATCAGTAAAAAAAATATATATATATATCAGACTTTTGAAAAAAGGTTCCTCTTTTTTTTTTTATTCTGAACATGCAAAAAGTCTGTTGATATCAAAGGTTATTAAGACTGATATATGATATTGATACATAATCTAGAGGTTAGTCATTTTTGTTAGTTCATATCGAATGCAACTATGAAATGCATTTCTTGCCCACTGTTCATGTGTGTCTCCATGTATCTTTAGTATATACTTTCCTATTCAACTTTCCTATGGGGAAAAAATGCAATGAATCATATATACAAAAAACCTATATACTAGATACTTCAAAGAACATCAATATACTGTGTTACTGTAGCAGCATATATATATATATTAGTTATCATACTCATACTGAAAGAGGAAACAAAAGTGAGGAAAATTGATAGTGAAACCATTTTAGCATACTTTTTTTCCCAAAGAAAGACAGAGAATACGAAATCATAATCACTCATCAAACGTACAAAAATTGAAAAAAATAATAATATAAATAAAATAAAACAAATGGTTTCACTAGTGACATTACTTATGGGTCTACTAATACAACGAGTAATCGGCAAAAACAAGGTAATTAGGGTTTACTCAAATGCCAAAAGAAGCATGTTCGAAATTATAAAATTTTCTTGGATACACTTTACTCCTGTGTCAGAAGCCCCATAAGCCAAATGTGTGAGAAAAAATCAACAAAAATGAAATACATGAGAAGAGCTAAGAAAATAAATCTGAATGGTGAGAAACTCCATGTCAAGGATTCAAAGAGCCAATTTGTGCTTCAACACTTCTTTACATGACCCATACATGTTTGTATTAAATTATCTACAGGCATGTTCACATTGTTGAAATATAATCCAGTGGCTATTCCTAGCTTAGGTCTCTCCAATAACAAAGCTACATTTTTTTCCCCAAACAAAACACAAAATTCAATGGACCATCAGTGTGAATTGATGTAGCTGACTCTTAAACTAATTATCTTAAATCATGGAAAATCTGTATACTAAAAGAGACATTTAAACTGTACTTTCTTTTCTGTTTAATATAATGGTAACTATCTAACAACTGATTCACCTGTAGTTAGCACTTCCTCATATCATTCTTCTGATGCAGTATTCACTAATATCATTCTCAAATATTACAAAGCATAATATATTCATAATTCAATTATCATCCCCTACCAATGCATGAAATACTCTTATTCACAAGACTTTAGAGAAACATTTTCATAAACAACTAAATTACATACTCTAAACAGTGTACAGTCACTGACTATCATCAATATAACATGTTTAGCATGTCCAGCGGGATTTTCACAAAATGAAAGCTTATGC